GCCGTCGCGGCTGAAAGCACTTCCGCAGCGGGGCGTCCAAGGTTGGTCTCTGGCGGAAAACCTACAGCCTGAACGGAGCCTTTAACCTGAGTCCCGGAAAAGGAATTCTCTACAAACCTTTTTTTCACAGTCTGAATGACCCGCTGCCGCCGTGGCTCGCGGAAAGAACTTCCGCAGCGTCGCGTCCAAGGTTAGTTTCTGGGTAGCTTCTCTCTCAAGTTACCCCTTGAAATTCCATGTAACCTCTTCTTACAGTCCGAGTATTTCGCCCCGCCAGGCCTCACTTGGGACTTGTAGACGGTCATAAGTGTGGCTTAAAAAACTTGGCCCTTCTGATCGTGTTGGGCGCAGTGTGGATTGCTTGACCTTGCTTGTGAGTTGACTCTAAACCTTTTGTACATGTGAGAACCAATGCCCTCCATTCCATTCTTCCTTTTATCTTTCCCTTATTTTTTTTGGTTCCTGCCCCTCGTCCAACACATCATCATCTCATTGCTACTTTTCAGGCCAACACAACTGCGTCAGCATCAACTGCAGCAGCAGCAGCAGCAATGTCAATACCAACACCACCATCAGCACCCACAGCAGCAGCAGCAGCAGCTCTTTCCGATCGGCGAACCCACCTTCCCTCTTCCTTCGCCCCCACAGCAACAGCACTGATAGCACCCACTGCAGCAGCCACTACCCTTTCTGATCGCCGAACCCACCTTCCCTCTTCCTTCGCCCCGACTCCCTCGCCCATGCATCCTCACCCCAGCACCCCTCCATACACCCACGTGGGACATAATCACAGTCCGTATAATCACACTCCCGGTCACCACGCAGCGGCAGCTTTGGTAGGTGCAGCAGGTGGGGTAAATGCCTTTCCACCAGGAGCCAGTGCTGCTGGTGCAAGCTCTGCTGCTTTTGCTGGTATGGGTGCTGCTGCTGGTGCTGGTGCTAGTCGTGCTGCTGCTACTGGTGTTGCTGGTGCTGGTGCTGGTTCGGCTACTGGTGTTGCTCCTGCTGCGGCAAGGGTACCTGGAATGCAGGGTACGACAGGTTTGGCTTCAGCAGGCTCTGGTGCACTGAGTGTTGGTAGAGGAGGGCCCCAGCATTTAGCAAGCCAACAGGGATTGCAGCAGGGTACAGCACGTTTAGCAGCAGCAGCAGGGTCTGGTGCGTTGGGTGTTGGTAGAAGCGGGCACCAGCACCCAGCAAGCCAGCAGGGATTGCAGCAGCACATGGCAAGTCAACAACACACGCAACAGCCACCGCTACAGCCGCTACAACAGCCACAGCAACAGCGCCAGGCACAGCAGCAGCAGCAGCAGCAGCGTCAGGTTGTGACTCTAAAGGGGCCAGTGCCTCGGCCGAGAGAGAGGTCGAAACGGGCACGGTAGTGGGGTTTGGAGCGGATGCTGCAGTGACAAAGCGTGCTGCATGTCTGGCACAATTTGGAGTCTGGTGCAGGGATATAGGTAATTCGGGCAGCCACAACGGCAGCAGCAGGGGTGTCGAGTTGTGACTCTAAAGGGGCCAGTGCCTCGACCAAGGGAGAGGTCGAAACGGGCACGGTAGTGGGGTTTGAAGCAGAAGTTGCAGTGAGAAAGCGTGTTGCATGTCTGGCACACATGTGAAATCTGATGCAGTGGTTTAGATAAAGCAGGCAGCCCCAGCAGCGCCAGCCACAGCAGCAGCCGCAGGTGCGTCAGGTTGTGACACTAAAGGGGCCGGTGCCGCGGCCAAGAGAAAGATCGAAACGGGCGAGATAGTGGGGATTGCAGCAGATGTTGCAGTGACAGCAGGTGTTGCATGTCTGGCGCACACATTGACTTTTTGAGGAGCCGGTGCCGCGACCAAGAGACCAAGAGAGGTGTCGAAGCGGACACGGTAGTGGGATTGCAGCAGATGTCCCTGTGAATGCCCGTGTCATGTGTGTGGCACACATGTGAAATTTTGCGCAAAGATCGAGAGAAACGTTGAAGCAGGCGCGATAGTGGGGAATGCAGCAGATGTTGCAGTGACAGGCCAGGTGGTGTGTCTGGTGCATTGTAGAATTTGGTGCAAATATATAGATAACGCGGGGAGTTACAGCAGCAGCAGCGGCGGCAGGGGCGTCAGGTTGTGACTCTAATGAGGCCAGTGCTGCGGCCAGGAGAGATGTGGAAACGGGCGAGATACTGGGGAATGCAGCGGATGGTGCAGTGAGAAGCACGCATGTTTGGCACACATGTGAAATCTGGAGCAGTGATGGAGATAAGCAGCAGGTGCGTCAAGCTGTGACTCGAAAGGGACCAGTGCCGCGGCCAGGGGAAATTTTGGAGTCGATCAATAAAATTAGCGTGTTTGTTCGGCACACACACATGTGGAGCCTGGAGCAGTGATGGAGATAAGCATCGGGTGCGTCAAGCTGTGCCTCTGAAGGGGCCAGTGCCGCGGCCAAGAGAGGTCGAAGCGGGCACGGTAGTGGAATTTGCAGCTGATGCTGCAGTGAGACAGCATGCTGTATGTTCGGCACTCTTGTAAATTTTGGAGCAGTGATGGCGATAAGCATCTGGTGCGTCAAGCTGTGCTTCGGTCAGGAGAGGGCGATGTTCGGCCGATGTCAAGCTGCGTCAGCAGACACGGTAGTGGGGATTGCAGCAGATGTTCGGCACACGTGTGAAATCTGGAGCAGTTGTGGTGGTAAGCATCAGGTGCGCCAAGCTGTTACTCTGAAGGGACCAGTGCCGTGGCCAGGAGAAAGATTGAAGCAGGCATGGTAGTGGAACATGCGGTGGATGGTGCAGCGGTGAGGATAATGCAGGTAGCCACAGCAACAGCAACAGGGACGTCAGTGCGCTGCTACCCGCTGCTCCCCCCTCCCTCTCGCCTCCCCCCTCCCGCCCTGATGCTTGAGCTTGGGCAGCGAAGATAACCTGTACGTGTATCGAGTGAGGCAATATCGAGGAAATTTCAAGAATGGGAAAAGTGAGTCGTACGACTATGGGAGAAATACTGAATTGAGACGGTGAGTACGACTGTGCATGCAACTTTGCGTGGGAGGGACACTTCATGCGACTCTTTCCCGCGCCATTGCGCATGACAGGCTGACGAGACGAACTTGGTCCCCCTAAACCAGCAAATTTTAGGTTTGGATAAAATAGAGTAAGATCTGCAGAGGCTCAGAGCTTAAAAAAAAAGTGAAGTTGTGGTGACGCACCTGACGTAGTAGCACGGCTGGCCATGATTGCTGGGACAAGGATGCACATTGAACTTAGTAAACAACTTAAAACCCGAGCCCCAAATTGCAAGCCGCGCGGGTCAAGTTTTTAAAACTTGATGCTGCGTAGCTTGCAAACTTGAAAATAGTGCGGCTGCAATTTGGGACTTTCGAGCTCCCACCAGGGGAAAGGCGAGGTTTGGCTGTGTGCTGCGAAAAAAAACGGATTTCACGAAATTGATGGATGATGATACATCACTTTTGTACATCTCCCACATGGCTGAACCTTCATGATGGGACAGTGCTTGCTGGATCAATAAAACTTCTCTAGTGAAAATGCAGCTACAGTAACCTCTGCTACTCTATCCTGTGTTGAAAATCAACAAAGCTTTTTATAACAAGGATAAAAGTCTTCAGATACTGCCTGGCTTGGTTGAGCACGAGTCAGCCAATTCTCTCGTGAAAACTTCCACCGTTTGGTTTTTTCGCAAAACCTCGTTGACCCAGCGAGTATTAGGGTACATTCCGCTGTGGACCATGTCCCAATCGATGTGTCCCAATCACGATTTGCCCGAGTCGCGCTCAAATGTCTCGAGTTTGCATGTCCCAATCGATCGATGTATTGCGACTCTGTACAGACGCGCGACAATTATGTGCGAACGACTGTGATTGGTCAGAGAATAAACATTGTCACTCGTCCTTGCGCAGCACATAAACCAATACCTCCAAGTCCGCAGTAGATCCTTGGTGATGTCCAGGGAGGCCGCGGAGGGTGCAGCACTCCTCCGCAGTGCCAATAATTGCCTCAACGGCACGTACATCTGCAACTCCTCTTCTACTTCGTGAGTTTCCATAATCAAACATAGCACAGACACCATTACTACACACGCATAATCCACGCATGATGGCAGAGCCTAGAGCCATCCCCTTCATCCTACGCCTCCTCGTCGCCTGGGTCACCCTACTACACCATTTTCTACGAAAATGTCGCCAAGTCCTTCGTAGGCCTCATAGAGTCCGGTGTGTTTGAGGACGAGGACGAGCAGTCCTCATCGTCCGGGGACGACACCGGGGAGAATCGCCGTCACAGAGCGAGTGTATGACGGCGACGTCATGCTTTGTGGGTTGAAGACCTACAACACATGCGGGAGAACGATTTCCAAGACATATTCAGGATCAACCGCACCATACTTGAGCATGTAAAGTCTGGGATGCGACAATATCTAGAGCCCATCGTGAATCGGTCGATAATCACAATGGACACTACTTTGCTCATCCCAATAAAGTACTTGGCGAGTGGCATATCATACGTCGACATGTCGTACCTGTTCGGTGTCTCCAAGACACTCTGCCACGAGCTTGTTGACGTGTTCCTCACCGTGTTCCCCTCAGTCTTCAAGGCCGCCTGGGTGCGCTTTCCCACAAGCGATGAACTTCCCGAGATGGCGCGTGAATTCGCTGCCATCAAAGGTGTACCTGCAGTGGTGGGGGCTGTGGACGGGACTCACATCCACATGAAAGGGATGGACGGGCACAGGGCGGAGTACTGGACAAGGAAGTCGGCCTACGCCGTTCAGCTCCAAATCACGTGTGATGCACGAGGCAGGATATGGGATTACCTCATCGGCTATCCCGGCAGCGCGCACGACATGTGGGTTTTCAAAGAGTCTGCACTACTTAAGAGGTTACACAACGGGGACATAGCCCCATACCAGATTGTTGGGGATGCGGCCTACCCGCTACGAGAATACTGCCTAACCCTCCTGCATGCTCCGCGCGGAGAGGACCTAATGGACGATTGGGCCCAATGTTTCAACTACTGCCAGAGCGCCACACGCATGGCGGTGGAGAGGTGCATCGGCGCCTTCAAAGGGAGATGGCGCATCTTCGGCGGGCGCAACGACTGCATGTTGTGGCGCATTCTCGCAGGAGCCGCGTGTTGTGTGATCCTGCACAACATGTGTGAAGAGATGGCAGTCGTAAGGCGCCAGAACATGGCCTGGAGCAATCTGCCCCGCAACCGCGACCCTTGGTGGACACGGGGTGCCATTGCGACACACAAGTGGGAACCCTGTGTTCCCCCAACACAACAGGCTTTGAGAGAGAGGCGGAAAAGACTGGGTGAGGCCCTACAGGACTCTTACGCTAATCGTCGGCGCCGCGGAGTGACGGTGTTGACGTCGCCAACATCGTCGCCATGCTGTGCGGCTGCGGGAGGTGGCGCGGACTCCCCGCGTGGCGGAGGAGGGCTGAAATCCGGCGGCGCACGGTGCACGTCCGGGGGCGCCGATTCCGTCGTGCGCTCGCGGGCAAGTCGCATGTCCTGCGCCATCCATTCACGGACGAGGCTCTCAATGCGCGTCATCGCGTCACCGTGACAATCCTTGATGGTCGCGGAGACCAGCTTGGCTGCTTGCATGGTAGCCGCCTCATGCACCCGTGCGCGCCTGGGTGTTGCGGTGGTCGGCGGCGGCGGAGCTGTGATAGAGGAGCGGGGAAAATAGTAGAATTGATTAGTCCGACTACCATTGTTTGATGTAACCTGCATATTGGGGAATAAAATGAACGGATTCTTCGTATTCAAACTACGATAAGTTAAACGCATATCTAGCTAGAGGTGATAGAAGCACGACTCACCCGTAAAGGTTGGTGTTGACGTGCCTGGCTGAGACGAACTTGGAACCTCCATGCCGGCCGGCACGTTGATGTCCGTGGCGCCGCCGCCGTCCACCGCATGCGGTGCGGCTGCGGCGGTGTCCTGGTTGTGCAGCTCCAGGTACGGATACCACGGTGGTTTCTCAACCGAGCCGTGGCCTGACCCCCCGTCGCCACGCTTGTACTCCCGCCAGAGGAGCGTCAAGTTACGCCACTGCTTCTGCAACGCGTTGACACCCCTGCACCATCCAGGGTTTGACTCCTTGATGTGCGCGAGTAGTCGGACCCAGTATTGCGTCCCCTGCTTCCCCTTGAGAGACTCGAGCTCCTCTTTCATGAACCACTTCGCCGCGGCGAATATGGTGCTCTCCTTGTCCGACCATAAGCCCCTCTCGACTGGAGCAGCCGACCGCTTCTTCCGTGGCTCCTGGCGTGGCGGTGGTGGCGCCGCCTTGCCTTTGCCTTTGTTCCTGCCAAATGCGCGTGCGGTGCTCCGTTTCGGCGGCTGGGACACAGGTTGCGCTTCCTCCTCGGCGTCATCCTCGGCGTCGTCCTCGGCGTCCTCAACATCGTCGTCGTCGTCGCTGGGCGACATCCTAGCGTCTTCCGGTTCCTCCTCGTCGTCGTCGGTGTCGAGGCCTTGTTCGGGGTCGTCATCATCGTCATCGTCAGCATCTTGCTCCACGACAGGCCGGTGTGTTGCAGCCGTCCTTGCGGGCTGACGGCGCACACGTGACGGGGCCGCACTGGGCGACTGTGCACAAGATCCCTGGCCGTCAAGCACGGGCGGCGCGGATAATCCCTTCGCATGGCGCCCGTTGGCGATCTGCTGGTTCATCCAGCGGATGTAAGGAATGTCGTTAAGATCCTTGGGGCAGTCGTTAAGGGCCTGCCCCTTACGCTTTTGAGCCATGCTGGCGGATAGAGTGCTTCTAGATCTAGATCTGTAGGGAGCAGGAGCGGAGAGAAATGAACAGATTGGAACAGGAAGGATGGTGCACGAAGATGAACCCGTAAGGTGTTGGGAGGTGGAGGAGTTGTGGGGAAGGAGCATTGGAACTGGGCGAAGGCGCGCTGGCGAGGACGTGCGCGTCCCTGTCAATAATTCCGGGTGTGTCGTCTGGACCAATCACGACGCAGTGTACGCGTTGATGGGGATAGTGGGTTTTGGGGAGTTGTCGTCTAGATACATGCTGCATGTGTTGACATTTGGCACCGCGTGCGACTGATGGAATGTGTTGCAATTAGCTGGCGACTGGTCCGTGTTTCACGTCGCCCAATGATAAATACATTTGGCGACCACCACGGGCGGCCCGGCATTCTGACACCTGGCAGCATATGCTGTACGTACGCGTCACAATCGATTCGGACACATCGATTGGGACATGGTCCACAGCGGAATGTACCCTTAGGGCGTGTTCCTACGGCCTCATATCAGAAAACCTCTTATCAAGAATGTACCTTTTGCCTGGTAAAACTAGCGAGAGGTTTTGGGTTTAGGGGAATTTTCAGTGTGAGCCTGATACGAGGTTGTCTTAATACGAGGATAGGAACACACCCTTATAGAACGTTACACCGTTCCAACTTCCAATTGTACTCGCTGCATTCCCCCGACGAGTACGCCGAGTCGCGTGATCCTTTGATGAAGTGCGGTGCGGAAGTCTGTCGAGATTCGACAGTTGGATTGGCAATTTCCCCCTCCTCGTCTCACTTCCATTCCATTTCTGCCTTCACGAGCAAGAAAAGTCGCTTACTCTTCAGACACTTGTACGTCTGTTTCACTTGGTCTAGTTCACGATCTCTCGGTTCTAGTTCCCGTGCTTCACGTTTCGTCAGGCACCATGGAGCTTCCCCGTATTTTTCCTGTCTTGTTTCTGCTCCTTCTCTCCACTTCGCTTCTTCCCCTCACTTCCTCGCGAGAATCTAAGGTGCAAGGAGACGATTGCTCATGCAAACCATGGCTCAGCTGCAGGTTCGTCGGGACTCCTGAGACATTCCACACTGATTTTGGGTTCCTCGTATTTTTATACTGACTTTCGTTTAATTACAGTCAATATTATTAGCTATAATCTAACGGAATCTTCTGTCAGCCCATTCAGAGTTTACATTTGCATGACTTGCGACATTTTATTGCGACCGTTTCTTATTTATTTCAGCAAGACGTCATGGCCTGAGGTGCAGGGCATGACGGGCGAGGCCGCTCGCAATTACATCAACGCCAGGGTTCCGCAGTGCAACTGGAACATTGGTATCATCCCGAGTGGTGCTTATGTTTCCATGATGTATCGCACCGATCGCATTCGCATATTCGTGGACGAAGACGGGAAGGTTGTTGGGTTGCCTAAGGCTGAGTAAAAAAACTACAGTGCCCACTAATGAATTTCTCTTAGTGGTCATCACGGTATCATCACAGTATAAAAAAAGTGGAAACGTATAATAGTGGTCCACTGGTACCAGTACTTTTTACACGCAATTGCTCTAGGTATAAGTTTTAAGTACTGTGTGTGAATAAATTAACTGGTTTAGTGGAGAAGGTATATTCCTGGGTACATGGGTATTATCCAATTGAGAAGATTAACTCTACAACGGTGGGAGCTAGACTATTGGGTAGGCACGAGTTGTCAGAGTGATCGTAGCTCTGTCTGTGTTCTCTAGGACTTGTGTTTTCACAGGGCAAAACAGCAAGAGTTTCACTAAGGAAAGTTGAGAATACAGAGTTCAGAATGAGAACAAGCAATGGCAAGAATTGACTACATCACATGCAAGGTTTGCTAGTGCTCAGGCAGGTCGATCTCCAGCACGACAAAGTGGTCGACCTGCCAACGTAGCAAGTCTGTAGTCCGCCAACGCAGCTCGTACGCGACTTGCCAACGCTGCAAATGGCGGCTTGCCAACACTGCACCCGCGCGGCTTGCCAATGCTGCATCCGCGCGGCTTGCCAGCACTGCATCCGCAGGTGATTGTAAGCGCATGTGCAAGCACCTACTTCGCAGGTGCTTGTAGACAGTTATGCACGACGTGCACTGTCGCGTACATTGCGCAGGTTGTCAGCCACATGCTGACGGTCGCACCTGATGAGCCACGTCGACCACGCGCTGCCACGTCTGTGGACTTCGCCACAGCAACCTCGACGACGTTCGCTACCCTCCGCAGAACCTCGTCGAGCAGGTAACTCGGTCAACCAGATAAAGTCCCTGGCAACCCTGCAGGAAGATGACCTTCGTCATCATCGGTTGACGACCTTCGTCGTCGCGGGTCGACGACCTTCGTCGTCGCGGGTCGACGACCTTCGTCGACCACCTCTGTCGACCACCTCGGTCGACATTCCAAAATGTCAGCTCCTCATTGGTCGAAATTAGGGCACATTCGAATTTCTGGCCAAAATTCGCCTGTGCATTCGCGAGGGTGCGCAGGGTCAGACACGACCCTGCGCAGATGAACACCCGCGAACCTCTGCACCAGCTGCGCCACTTGCACCTGTGCACGAGGCACTTGCGTTGCACTCGCGAATGCTTCAGTTACTCTTACATGGATTCCCTAGTACACCTCGTGTACAGGCAACCCTTGTACACCTGCAGAAGGTCGGCTGCACCTCCCGCACACCCGACCACGAAGTCAGTTTTACCCATGCGAGGGCGGGGCCAACTTCCTTCAACACTCCCCTGCCGCGCTCACGCTTAGACACCCTTCGCAAAAGGTCCACCCAGAACCCAATGGATAGTATACACGGGGAAAATCCTTCAGCGTGCACACAACACACAGCACGCCGGTCACCGCACCAGCCGTGCAGAAGGGCACAGCACCTATTGCTGCACATCATCGTCACCGTCGCCAACGTCAGCCAGACAAACTTGGCCGATTGCGACGGAGCACCAGTTGAAGGCCGGAAAGTGCAGCCCCTTTATCAAGTCAGCTCATAGGTGGGGATGTACTTCGGCGCAATCTTCCCGCGCTTCACCATCTGCTGCAGCCAGGCGTAGCGGCGCTCCATGTGCTTGAGGTTGCCCTTCAGCCCCAAGCCTTCCGCGACAGTGATGGCCGACTGGTTGTCCACACGAAGGACGGTCGGCGTCCCAGGGTCCAACAGCTTGAACTCTGCAAGGAGGAACCGGAGTCGACGAGCCTGTTCAGTGATTCCAACATGGTATAGAGCAGGTCCTTCCTAGGACCGAAATTTTCTAAGGGCCCACCACTACGTAACTACCTACCTACCTACCTACCCGTGCCCTAGGGCGCCTCGGCGTGTCACGCCCCTAGAGGCCCCTCTTGACGGCCCCGCGCTAGCCCCGTTCAGGCCCCGTCGGCCCCTTTAAGGCCCCGTTCAGGCCCCGCGCTAGCCCCGTTTAGGCCCCGTCGGCCCCGTTTCAGGCCCCGTCGGCCCCACGCTAGCCCCTCTCAGGCCCCGTCGACCCGCGCTAGCCCCGTTTCAGGCCCCGTCGGCCCCTTTTCAGGCCCCGTCGGCCCCGCGCTAGCCCCTCTCAGGCCCCGTCGGCCCGCGCTAGCCCCGTTTCAGGCCCTGTCGGCCCCGTTTCAGGCCCCGTCGGCCCCGCGCTAGCCCCTCTCAGGCCCCGTCGGCCCGCGCTAGCCCCGTTTCAGGCCCCGTCGGCCCGCGCTAGCCCCGTCTCAGGCCCCGTAGGCCCCGCGCTAGCCCCTCTCAGGCCCCGTCGGCCCCGCGCTAGCCCCATTCAGGCCCCGATCGGGCCCGCGCTAGCCCCGTTTCAGGCCCCTTCGGCCCCGTTTCAGGCCCCGTCGGCCCCGCGCTAGCCCCGTTCAGGCCCCGTCGGCCCCTTGCTAGCCCCGTCAAGGCCCCGTTTGGCCCCGCGCTAGCCCCGCTCAGGCCCCGATCGGCCCCGCCCTCGCCCCTCTAGGGCCCCAACCGGCCCCGTGCCTACCTCGCCGACCCGTGCCCACCACCCAGAGGCCCCGGGCGGCCCGTTCCCGCCGCAGCACAAGAGGGAGAGCGGGCGGCCCGTCCCCGCCGTGACCTGAGCCGAGCCGCGCGCCCCGAGCCGAGCCGCGCCACCCAGCCGAGCCGCGACCCGACCTGAACCGAGCCGCGCCGCCCTGCCCTACCTGGTTCGTCCTACCTGCTTCTCCTACCGCTACTGCTGCTATTTCTACTGTTCCTATGGCTAGCCCACAGGTTCTCGTGTTCGATGCTGAGGGCCGCCCTGTGAAGTTTGACACCTGGCTCGATGACCTGCACCTCTACCTACAGCTCACAGCCAAGGATGACATCTCACTGTACGATCACGCCCTAGGCCTTGTCACTGCCCCTGCTGCTACTGCTGAGAGCACTGCTCGCTCACAGTGGCAGACTCGTGATGCCCACGCTCGCTTCGCCATTCGCAACTCCCTGCCGATAGACGAACGCGAGCACTTTGGTCAGCACAAGACTGCACCGGCACTGTACACAGCTGTAGTTGCTCGCTACTCCTCACCTGCCTCTGCCGCACTAGGCCGTCTCTCCCTCCCCTACCTGTTTCCCGACCTGGCCTCCTTTCACACAGTCGCTGACCTCATCACGCACCTCCGTACTAGTGAGGCCCGCTTCCGTGCCGCCATGCCTGCTGAGTTCCTTGCCACGCACCCCCCTCCACTCTGGCTCACTCTCTATCACCTAGTCACCCGCCTCCCTGACACACTGCGTGCTGTCAGGGACCACTTCCTAGCTCGTTGCCCCACTGAGCTCACCATTGCCCTCCTCGAGAAGGAGCTACTTGCAGCTGAGGCTAGCATAGTCGCTGTAGGTGCCTCTCGTGGCGACCCCCGTACCCCGTTCTTTGAGGGGTGTTCTCCTTCCCCCCTTCTTCCCTCTGTCGCCTCTGCTGCTGCTGTCGACCTTCTTGGTACTGAGAAGGTCGGCACTGCGTCTGCCTCGAGCGGACGCCGCAGCGGCAAGGGCAAAGGGGGCAAGGGTAGTGGCGGTGACGGCGGGGGAGGCGGCGGTGGGGGCGGTGGAGGCAGTGGGGGTGGTGGCTCGGCTGGAGGGGCGAGTGGTAGCGGTGGGGGTGGTGGCGGCAGCGGCGGGGGAGGTGGCAGGAGTGGAGGCGG